GGGGGGAGGGGGGGAGGGGAAATATTTATGCTAAACAAGTGGAAAAGAAGAGAAGAAAGGATGTTACGAAGCAGGGGGGAGGGGGGGAGGGGCGCAGAAAGACTGTCCAGGAACCGAGGAAACCGCCTCGCCTCGCTTGACGCCTGCCAGCTTTGTTTCTCCGCCTCCCGGGCTCCCCTTCGACCCCCCTTCCAAAGCCTAAAACCCTATAACCCAAATCCAAATCCAAATCCCAGGTCAGTGCAAGGTGGACGAGACGGAGAAGGGCTGGTACATCACCCTCATACACAAGGTAGGATGAACATGTATAGACATACAGACATACACAGACAGACATGCAGACAGGCAGATACGCAGACAGACAGACAGACAGACACGTTTGCGGCCGAAGGGAAAAGGGGTAATGAACGGGGGGAAGGGGAGAGAGAGCGGGAAAGGCGTCCTTGATTCCTCTGTTTTATATATGTTGTGGGTTTTTCCTCCCATCCTCACCCCCCCCTCCTCCACCCCCCGGGCCTCAGGACCCCAAGATGCAGTTGGAGGAGGAGCGGAGGAACAAGCGGTCGGAGGCTGAGCGGGAGGAGGAGGAGCGGCACATGGCGGCGTTGCAAGAGCAGGTACGACATGAGGGGGGAAGGGGGAGGGGCGGAGAGAGTGGGAAATCGGGTGGGGAGGAGGGGGAGAGTGTGTGTGTGTGTGTGTGTGTGTGACGGGGGGAAGTGAGAGGGGAGGGGGAAGGAGGGGCTATGGATGGTTGCCAAGTGGAAAGGGTGGGAAGGGGAAGGGGGAGAAGGAGGGACGGCGTGTTAGGTTGGCACGACGTGTTTGTTTGCACCACCACCACCACCACCATCATCATGATCATGATTACCATATAATTCCTATCACACTCTCCCTCGCTCGTCCCACCAGTGACATTAGATCATGAAGCTACCCCCCCCCCTCTCCCTTCAGCTTCACTCGCTCCTGGTTCGTCTTCCACCTTCTCCCCCGCTTAGGACCCCCTAGCGGCAGTTTCGAACTTTGCGGACGCCTTCCGGCAGCAGGTCATTCCTTTTCTCCTCCTGCGTTTGATCCCCCTCCCCCTCCCCGTCCTCTCCCCCCCCCACCACCACCACCACCATCACCGCCGCCGCCGCACACACGCATACACACTCTCTCACGCCCCCGTTTCGCCCCCTCCTTCCCCTCCTCCCCCACCCCTCACCTCCTCACCTACGTAGATTGCCCGGGCCAAGCGAGCCCGTTTGGAGAAGGGCGAGCCCCTCTCTGAGGAGGAGGAAGACGAGGAGGCGCACACTTTGCAGCGGGATGAAAGCGAGGTGGGGGGCGGGGAGTTTTGCTGGCGAACCACGAACACGTCGCGGGGGGTGTTGGAAGGGGATGGCGGGGTGGTGATGGTGGTGGCGGTGGTGGTGGTGGGAGCAGGGGCTTAGTTAGGGGGAAATGTGTTTTTGTAATTGTGTGTGTATTGTGTATGTGATGGGGATGGAGAGGGGGGGGATGGAGGTGGCGGTCGGGGTTGAGCGGTCCTGTACATCGAGGGCTCTTGGCGCCCTTGCTGCTGCTGCTACTGCTGCTGCTGCTTCTTGTATTGCACATACCCCGCCAACACTCCCACACCTACACCCCCTCCTTAACACACACGCACACACACACACACACACCCAACACTGTGCACACCGCTCACCTCCTTCCTTGCGACACCGTTCCGCTGTCCGGCTGCTGGTGCTCATAGGGCCCCATTAAGATCAGTCTGGGGCTGGGAACCACCGGCGGCGGCGGCAGCGGCGGTGGTGATGGTGGCGGCAGCGGCGGTGCGGGTCCTTCCTCGGCGGCGGGAGCGGCGGCAGGGGCGGCGGCACCCGCCAGGCTTGCGCGGATAGCCCGCGGCGGCGGCGGCAGCGGCGGCACGACGGGGCTAGTGGCGGCGGCGGGTGCTGGAATCTTTGGGGATGATGATGGTGAGTGGCAGTCTGTAGCTCCCGGGTGGGGAGCTACCCCCCGCGGTGCTGGTGGCGGTGGGGATGATGGGGATGACGGTGCTTTAGAAACAAAATAAACATTTTTTCTGAAGCAACCAACTGCCTTAGAGAGCGGGCCCCGCTCAGCGGGGTAAAGGGAGCGGTAATGGGTGAGTAAAACACCGTCATCACCACCACCATCATCATCACCACCACTACCAGGGGTGGCGGGGGGCCCCAGCGGGGGGGACTGGAGGTGCTTCCGCAAGATTGCGGCGGTGACGACGTATCGTATCCCCCGGTCGAGTGTTTTTGTGGGGTGTGTAAATGTGGCGGTGTGAGTCGTGATAGTTGGGCAACACACAAACAGGCGATTCAACTTTCAGCTTTACTGCTGCTGCTGCTACTGCTGCTATTACTGCTGCTGGTTGGGGTGATGGTGGTGGAAACGGTATGTATATATATATATATATATTTTTTTTGTAATGTTACAGAGTGGGAGGCTTCTGGGCCGCTTTATCACATTGTCAGTTCTAGATCATTTATCACCTTATAGCACCATCCACCACTACCACACTGTACTTCGCCATACGAACTGTAAGTCCAAGGCGGCGGATCCAGCCTTCAGGGACCCCTCCTCATCCATTCACCCGAATATCCGAAGAGACGGAGGGTTCGGCAATCGCCACCAATCCAACGTGCGAATCTGGTCCTTCAACTGAGACCACAACTCCACATCTCAGCAGCTAGCCAATATCTCGCGCTCCCGACTAAATCGGGGTTCTCCCCAGAAATCGAACCCAGAACCTTAAACCGCTAATTGCAGTAATGTCAACCCAGACCAGACCATATATATATATACTGCAGTAGATGGTTGGTGGTGATGTTGGTTCCCCCTGGCCCTGGCTGCTGTTATGGTTGTTCGTTTTCGGTTTTCGGTTTTGCAGACGGTGACGTGGGACCTGGCGACCGCGGTGGCGGGTCCTTGCAGAAGCAAAGCAAGTTGGAGGAGCTGATGCAGGTAACGGGGGGGGGGGAAGGAGGGGGTGAGAGGGGAAATGGGAGGGAAAGGCGGAGGGAGGGGGAAAGGGGGAGGGGAGCGAAAGACTAGCCACAGACGAGTGGTGAATCAGCTATTCCAAGAGATAGACGGATACTACTCCGCAGGATTAGACAGACAGACATACATACTGCATCAGGAAACTGGGGGGGAATATACGGGGAAAGGCAGGGTTTCGCAGGGTAGCGGCCGTAGGGTGGAAAAGATATGGACCCCCTGTCTCATACATCATACACACACATATGCACACGCGCGTACACACCCACACACACCCACACACACACGTCATCACCTTCCCCACCACCACCAAGAACGCCACAACAACACGGTGGCCCCCACCCCCCAGGCTGAGCTACGCGCCAAATCCAATGCCTCCGCATCCGCACCCAGGGATGGCGATCGCCGACTGGATTACTGGTACGTCATGTACGGGTTATTTACGTGTACGAACGCGTGTACGAATGCGTGTGTGTGTGTGTTTCGACATGTTGCGTTGCGTTGTGAGGATGGTAGTGCTCTCGTGGTGGTGGTGGTGGTGGTGGTGGTGTCAAGAGAGTGGGGAGTTGGAAGTTATGAAATGAATAATCGGTTCAGCGACCACATACATACGTACATACATACGTACATACGTACATACATACGTACATACATACATACATACATACATGCATACATACATGCATACATACATACGTACATAGTCGGCGCTATAGCCGCGAACACCACTACCACCACCACCACCCAGTAGTAGTTCCTATCGCCACCACCGCCAGTACGGCGACGGCTGTTCCTGCTCTCTCTGAAGGTCTTCCTCCCCCTACACACACACATATCCACGTCTCCAAGTAAAACAACCCATTCAGCTATTCCTCTACCACTGTTCCCCTTCCTGGACGACTACAGCTACGACTATTTCCATTTGTCTTGTCATGAGGTGATTGTCATGAGGTGAATAATGTTCTTCTGCATATCGCGACTTCCTCCTCCTTCGTCAACCTCTCGTATGATGTACTGCTTCTTGCTCGTTTTGAAATATACACACACACACACACACACACAATTACGCGCGCGCATGTTCTTGTTCTCACCTCACCCATATCTTTCCCCCGTTTCTAAACCCCCTAACCATCCCTACCCGCCAACCGCTAACCGTCACTGCCAACCGCCACACAGGCTAGCTCCCGGTATTGTGGTGAAGGTCCTTGCCAAGGGGCTCAAAGAGCACGGGTACTACAAAGAAAAGGTGGCTGGGGGCCCAGAGGGACATGTGTGTGTATGTGTTTTAATACGTGTGTGTGTGTTTTAATACGTGTGTGTGTGTTTCAACACAAACTGAGGGCCGCGAGAAGCAGTACATCATACGAGAGGTTGACAAAGGAGGAGGAAGTCGCGATATGCAGAAGAACATTATTAACCTTCATGACAAGACAAATGGAAATAGTCGTAGCTGTAGTCGTCCAGGAAGGGAGCAGTGGTAGAGGAATAGCTGAATGGGTTGTTTTACTTGGAGACGTGTGTTGGGGGAGGAGCTGTGTATGTGTTTGTGCGTGACTGTGACTGTGCCGTATGGTTTTAAGGATACGCGCAGTCACAGCCACACACACACACACACAGCCACACACACACAAAAATGACATCATTTCCTCCTTCCCCCTCCCTCCCCACTTCCCCCCCTCACTTCCCCCTCCCCCCACCCCCGCAGGGTGTAGTCGAGCGGGTTATAGACCGTTACGTGGGGGAGGTGTCCATGTTGGTTGACGGTACGGTTGTACGAGTGGATCAGGCCCACTTGGAGACGGTTATTCCGTCCCCTGGGGGTCAGGTGCTGGTGCTGAATGGGGCGAACAGGGGCCGCAGGTGAGCGGGGGGCCGGGGGTTTGGGTTTGGGTTTGGAGGGGTGGGGTGGGGGGATGCGGGGTGGGGGGAGTTGGTTGGGTCATACGATTGAGGTGTTGGTTGGGGGTGGTTGGGTAGGGTGGGGCGATAGCCACTTTGATGCTGAGTTGGTTATATTGTTAACTGACCAACCATCCACGCAAGCACTCGTGAGACAACTACATCGTCAACCGCCAACCGCAGGGGGACGTTGCTCGCCATCGACACGGCCAAGTACCAGGCACAGGTACGACAAATCGTACTTCACCAAAACGTACTTATAAGGCGTGTGTCTATATATGGGGGCCCTGTATAGATGTGTATATGCTATAAAACCCAATATGGCTGTCAGATATCTCTAGCTTTGTAACTGTAAGTGTAATTGTAATCCTGTAATGTGCTCCGTTGGTAAGGTTGGGGCCGAGGGGACGGGGTGAGGAGGGGGAGGAGGGGGAGGAGGAGAGGGGAGATCACGATCCCTAGGGTTTCTCACACGCGCACACACACGCACACGCACATACACAGTGCCGAACGTGTCTTCCCTCACGTTGACAAACCCCCCTCCTCCCCACCTCGCCTCCCCAGCCCAACCCTTTTATCCTTTCTGTCTTCCTTCATCTAACTCATGCTTTTGCTAATCCTTCCCCTCCCCTTTTTTTGCTCGCTCACTCGCTCACTCGCTAGTGGTTCGTCTTTTCCCCCCCCTTTTTTCTTCTCACCTGCCTCCTCTCCTTTATCCTTTCTGTTTCTTTCATCTTCGTATGATGTTCATGCGAATCCTCCCCCCCCTTCTTTTTGCTTCTCACCTGCCTCCTCTCCTCTCATGTCCTCGGTTCCTGTTCTCTACTCTCCCCCTCCTGTTTCCTTCTTTCCTCCTCCTCACCAACCAGGTTAAGCTGATTGATGGACCTTCCAAGGGCAAGGAGATTTGGATCGAGTACGAGGATATCAGCAAACTGGACTCTGATGCAGCGGGGGCAGCAGGAACTGGCGGCGGTGCCGGCGGCGGCGGCGGCGGGAGCAGCCGTGAACGGTAGTAGTCGTAGTCGTAGTCGTACTAGGTGTCGTACTAGTCGTAGTACTAATAGCCGGAGCGGTGTCGAAAAGACCTGGGAAATGTGGTTGTTGTTATTTATGGTGGTGGTGGTGGCGGTCGAGGCTTCTTTTGGCAGTTGAGGTGGCTGTGCGTATTTTATATCTGTTCATTATTGGCATTGGGACCAGGGTTCGACACCCCGTACGGGGCCCGTAAGTTTTTGGCCTTTTTTCGGTATCCCCGTCAGGGCCCGTAGGATTTTTCGGTGGCTCCCGTAAGGATTTTGGGGCGCGAAGGGCCCCGTACGGGGCCGTCCCCGGACCGGCCGAAGGCCGGTTACGGTGGCTCCCGTAAGGAATTTAAGGATTTATAAGAGGCCGTACGGGGCCCTGTAGGGGAGAGGACGGACCATATAAAGGATGGAAAGCCTGCAAGCCAACCTGTTCCCACAAAGAAAGTAGATGATAAGCCTTTTTGACGTTAGCAAACTTAATTTGAATCCATACGGAGAGGATGATAATGAGGAGGTTGCGACTGACCCAGAGATTGAATTACTGGTACAAGCAACATACCCCGCTAGTGACGATGAAGCTTTTAGTGCCAGTGACTACGAGACCGACGTAGAACGAGATACCGATGAGTCGTGCGTGGATGAGGATTTTGATGAGGAGGAGGAGGAGGAGGACGAGAAAATGGAGCAGAAGGGATGGGCGGCCGCGGCGGCCAAGGCGCTTGGCTTTCGCTGAGTGTGCCGTGTCCCCGAGTGTAATGGTTCACGAGAAAATAACGAACATAACGATTTACAGGGCAAAAAAATGCAAAGCGTCACTTTCCACAGCGTTTCAGCCAAGGACAGTGCCCCCGTAAAGGTTTTGCGGGGGTTACAGGGGCCCCCGTAAGGTTTTCGGCCGGTACAGGAGCCTGGTACGGGGGCCCCTCCGTAAGGAAAATTTGGGAGGTACGGGGGAGCCCGCAAGTTTCAGGAAGTTCAGTGTCGAACCCTGATTGGGACCACCGCCTCGCCGGGTGGGGCCCCCGATCACATTGTTCCCATGCTGCTGAGGGGAAAGGCATACTGAGAAAAGATGAAGACGACGATATTTAGTGAGTAGTATAGGTGGAGGAAGTTGTGAACAGGGGGGTCTTGGTGAACCTTGGAAGCCGAAAGGGGGCGAGGGGGGGGGGAAGACATGCGACACGTCGTGTCGTGTTTTTAAAGCCGCGCAGCAGCTGCTGCTGCTGCTACTGCTGCTTGCTGCTACTGCTGCTGCTTGCTGCTACTGCTGCTGCTTGCTGCTACTGCTGCTGCTTGCTGCTACTGCTGCTGCTTGCTGCTACTGCTGCTGCTTGCTGCTACTGCTGCTGCTTGCTGCTACTGCTGCTGCTTGCTGCTACTGCTGCTGCTTGCTGCTACTGCTGCTGCTTGCTGCTACTGCTGCTGCTTGCTGCTACTGCTGCTGCTTGCTGCTACTGCTGCTGCTTGCTGCTACTGCTGCTGCTTGCTGCTACTGCTGCTGCTTGCTGCTACTGCTGCTGCTTGCTGCACGCTTTGCTGGGGCGCGTCAGGGGGCCGCGTCACGGGATGCTGAGTATGACGGGCCTCCCCTGGATGACACCTTGTTTCTTTCGGCTTGGATGCAATTTAGGTGAGGGGGAAAATGTACGGGCGACAGCAACGTCAAGAAAGCTACAAGTTGCACGCTGCGCACGAGTCAAGAATGGAAAGTAACAAAGTAATAGCTGCCTGCTGACGACCAAATAAAGTTGCAAACTGCTGCGGGACGAGTGCAGCTGCCTGCGCGATAGCTGTATTACGGAGCGGGAATACAGCTGGCTTTCCGGTGCAAATCAAACCCGGCAGAAAGAGCCAATCAGCCCACACCGCAAGCCTGTTTAGGCTTCCAACCGCTCCGCTTCAGACCTTCACCACGGTTTGAAACTTTTTGAAGTGGCAGACAGCTTTGTGTGGCCATTTGACCCATCATCGTCGCCGGTCCCCCTGGCCACGGGACTTGGGGTTAATGCCAACAGCCCAGCTCAGTACAGTTCCAAACACACACACACGAGCATGGGGCTGATGGCTGTGCGTGACATCGTGACGGAATGGCAGCACCACGCGGGGGTGGGGTGGGGAAAGACGAACCACGAGCGAGTGAAGGTGATGCCAAGGAAAGACTGATGCGCCAGAAGTATGGGGGGACGGGGGGCGGATAAACAGAGGAGTTCAGGCACAGGAAGAATCCCGGCAGCAGATAGATCCCCAACAAGACAACAGCAAGGTTTGCGTGCGGCTGTAAGTCAAAATGTTGTGTTGTGTTCTTTAAATTGGTGAATGAGTTGTGGTAGTGTGTGTT